AAAAGCAACTGGTGGTGGTCGTGAAGCTGGAAGTGACTCTTGGAAGCAGTATATGCGTCGTTCAACTTGGTAAGGTTTATGCTTTTAGCCCTCAAATTATGAGCTCTGTTCTACGTGTTTCTCCATGTCCTGTTAATGACATGTTTGGCCAAAAAGAAGTCAAGTAATGACATTGATAATTTCTGCTATTGACAGCACCATCAACTATGGGAGTGAACTGCCATTGGCTCAGGGAATCAACTTTGGCTAGTGAGCCATCCTTGTGAAGGAGGGGGTTGAAGGGCAATTTCCGGCCGGGAGAGTAGATGATCTGTAGGAGGGTGATATTTGGCTGTTATGCTATCTAATCTAAATATGTCGTATCTCTGCAGCTGTGATGATGTTTAAGAGACATTAAGGCAGATGTTGATAAGTCAGTGAGATGTGATCTTTATTTTCTTCACAAAGGGTGCCGAATTTGTGGGGTTCTTCTTGGGGGTCTTCTTAATTCTGAGTATCGCGTTGCTTTCAAAATTTAGATAGCTGTGGACGGGAAAGCTTACGTATTCTTTTGCAAGACTAACTCCTATGAATAGATCAAATGACGTATAAATAAAGATATGCCACGTCACAGTCACGGGAGATTTATATTTTCAAGAAAACGCAACGCTGAAGATTTTTATTATAGGACTTGGATTGGATGAGGCAATGAATATTTTGATTTTTTTTGGGGTCACATTAAAATTATTAGTAATATTTTTCGAGTTATTTCTCATGCCTTTTGAAATTTATAAATTTAATTCATTTTTGAAGTTGCAATTTTGATAGTTGAGAATAATATGGCGGTGGGGGATATGTTTTTCAAGATAGTGGCGGGTTGACTTTTGACCAACCCTAATCCGCTATTTTTGGCGGGTTGATGGGTTGGACTCGCGGGTTCAACCCATATTACTGGCTCTAAAGTTCAGCAAGTCCATAATGTGGTTCATGGACCATGTGAAATACCAACAAGCCTCCAAGTCCAAGCTTCGCCAAATGGTCAGCTGCAGCATTACAGGCTCGAGGGGCGTACGAAAGTTGAACCTTCCGGCTTGCTCGAACTTGTAATTTTCCCAAGACGTGACACTAGCAGTGTTTGAGTGAAACTAAATCATAATTTTAAAAATATTTTTATAATATATGAAATAAATATATTATAAAAGAATTTACTTCATTTTATAAAACAATGCTTTTTAAAAGTATTTTTGGATGTCTGCAAACATCCCCTGTTTCTAAGAGAACTCAGATGAACTCTAATGTTGACATCCGGATTCCGCGACTCCACAGTACGGGAATAGCGTGTCCTTATAGTTTGTTTATATTTAAGGCTTAAATATTGGGAGTTGGCGGGAAAGGACCCTGTACAATACAGCAACCAAGTCACATGTTTTTTGGATTGATTTATAAAGAGAAAAGCGGTAGATGAGCAAAGACGAAACACGTGTATTTCTTGATCATGACTCTGATTTTGTTGTAGGACCGTCGCTGTCGTTGTGGGCTCCTGCAAATCCCATAATGACTATCATTTTACGCAGACATATATATTTAGTGGTGGTTAATCTTGTTTTACCTCTACTCGCTGCTCACTCCTTTCGGAATATATATTTATATATATATTGCCATTTGCCCATCATCACCGATATTTTAATACATTTGAATTTAATTACGGTATTCATTTGTGTACGAGAGTGGAAAGATTTTTAGGTTGACTTTAATGACCGAAATCAACGTGGCAAACCAAGATTTAGATTCAGAAAAAATCTTTGTTTCTTGACTGCCAGATGATCTAAAGCCATGTAAAGGGGAAAAGCAGAAAAGTGGACCAAACAAAATGGTTTCCACATCGTCTATTTTTGTCTATATCGTGCCTGGTTAATATTACGGTTGAGGACCTTCTTTGCCCCCTAATTGTTTTCTTTTTTGTCATAAGGAACTCCCGAGTCTCTCTTTTCGTGAGAACAATTAATTTGTTTCTCATCTTTATTTATTTCTTCAGTTACTTACTTTCTGGCTCGGTTTACTTGTGTTTGTTTTGTTTTGGGTTTTGTTGATGCTTTGTACCTGTGCTACTTAGTAGTGCATCTTTGTTGGCCAAAAAAAAAAACAGAGAGAACAATTAACTTGAAGTAAAGACTTTGGATGCTGGTAAAAGAAAAAAAGAACTAAGGACTTTCGAGTGCTACTTCTCTCTCTTGCTCCCTCTCTGTTCTTAACCTGGCCCAAAACGCTTGGGTTTGACCATACTATTCGTATTATCGAGAAAACTCCAGGTTGACCAGCCTAAATTGATTGATTGTATTTCGGTTTTAGTCAACTATAACTGCTTGAATTAATTTTTAATTAATTAATTACCAACTTCGATGTCTTCAGCATGGAGGCTGGAGCACCCTTATCATTATGCGCTTTCTTCTACACTGTCTTAAGAAACATACCATGGGGCCCGTTTGGTATGTTGGAATTGATTTTGGTGGAAATGGAAATGGATATGGATATGGATATGGAGATGGAAGCAGATATGGAGATGGAAATGGGGTTTAAAAGTGTGTTTGGTATGCGATAGAAATGAGACCTACTTTTTATATGAAAAGGCCAGAATACCCTTCTAAATTAAGAAATACAAAAATCTTTTAGACAGTGACAAACCCATCTTCGTCCTCTTCTCACAGCAGTTTCTCTCCTCAACACTAAGACTTTTGCTAACCCGAGAGACCAAAAAGGAAGATGATGCGTGATGTAAGAAGCAAAGGAATATCAAATGGAGGAAGAGTTTGTGGGTATAGGGGAAGATGATGAAACAGAAGAGGAGATCAAAGATGTAGCATGATGATGGGTCATCGACCATCGGAGATCTAGCACGACGATTGGTTGCCATCAACTAGAGATCTGCCCCTTTTAAGCAGTATTTTGCTGCTGCTGTTGATCTACTTGTCTCTTCCTCTAGGTAGTATGGTCGCCGTCGATCTGCAGAGCAGAGAAGAAGACGATGATAGAGGAGAGTGAGAAGCTCGACACCACCTTGGTCACCAGAGTTGCCGTCGTTGGTCACCGGAGTCGCCATTCACAGGGTTCATGGCCGAGGGTAGGGGTGTGCATGGACCAGACTGGACCGGGTTTGTTATCAACCCGAAGTCTGGTCCAGTAAAGACCTCGGGCTAAAAAAGACAGCCCGAGGTCTGGTCCAGTCCAATACCAACCCGAGGTCGGGTTGGACTGGACTTGGTCCTTTGGACTGCCTGGACTGGTCCAGGCAGTTTAGGACCTAAATTTAATTTTTTTTTAAATTTTTTTCCTTCAATAGGAGACAAGATTGTAACTTATTATATAAAATTTTGTACATATTTTAATCCAAAGTTCATCAAATTTAATCATTCTCTTTCAATTTCCCAATAATGTCATGTTTTATTAATTAATCATCATTAATATAGATCTTATATTATAGAAAATATATACGCATGCTCATTACTTAGGAAGTTAATAAATAAATCTTGATTATTTGAATAGACAAAAAACTTATCTAGAAAAATTAAACCAAATTAAAATTATATAAATAATAATTAAAAAAAACCGGACTAGACTGGACTGGACTAACTAGTTTGAGGGGTCAGTCCTTAGTCCAGTCCAGCCCGATGAGACTAGTCCGGTCCAGTCTGGTCCAGTCTTGTTTCGGGCTAATTTTTTCTGGACTGGATTGGACCGGGTTTGCTCGGGTTGGACTGGACCATACCGGACCACCGGGTTTTTGCACAACCCTAGCCGAGGGTAGGTGCATGTGAAGTGTGCTAGCGATGTGTATGAAGCTTATTGGTGGTGGGTGTGGCGGGGCAAAAATGAACTCTGTATCATGGAAATGCAAATCTTGGGGTTCTAGGATGGAAGCCAATTCCATCATTCTGGCTTCCATGTGGAAGCCAATTCCATGGAGTTCTGGTGTACCAAACATACAATTGACGTGGATTTCATTTCCATTTCCATTTCTTTCCCCTCATTTCCACCGTACCAAACGGCACCCATGTTTGTTGGTCAAGTGTCAACCCTTCGCCCGGCTTATGCATTTCTTAATTACACCTGTGAAAGACTTAAGTCGGAGAATCAATCTAAAACTCGACCCAAACATATAAATTATTTTTAAAATCTATTTAACTAATTTAATTAGACTAAAAAAATTAGATAAATTATTTAATTATAAAAGAATATAACATATTTTTCTTTAAAACACTATAATCATATTTATTCGTATCGTTTCTTTCTCTTCTTTTTAATTATGATTGAAAGAGTATCAACAAAAATAATTCAAAAAATTGATAAATATAAGAAATAAATTTTCTATTTAAAATCAATATTAATCTAATAATTAGATTTTACATTAAAAATTTTAGAAGTATATAATATTTCTTCTGTTTGAAGAGTCGTAGAGGGCATAAAAACTCCAGCAACATCGTTAAGATATACAGGACAAAAAATAATAAAGAGAAGAAAATCTAAATTCACGTAATGATGCCTCCGCTTCCGCTTTTTGTTTTGTTGGAAATTTCCTGCCGTCGATACTGCCAGAAGTTTCAGACATAACCATTTCTACCTTTTTTTTTCCTCTCGAGTTTGATTGGCTCACCTGTTCCCGTGCAGCTATCATGTCGCTTACTACGGACAAATAAGTAAACAGAAATCATTATCCCATGGCTATGGTCGTGACCGCTACACGACAGAGCTTAACGTGCTAGATTATTCCAGAATCAGTGCTGAGAAACTTCATGATTATGCAATTCTTGTAAGATCGGATAGATATCAGAGTAATCCACCTTTGTCATGTTACACTGACTGAACAGAGAATTTATAGCTAAAATTTGTTCAGAATATGCTATTTACAAGAGAAGGAAGCAAGGAAATTCAAAGAAATACTACTAAAGTCAAGTAATTAATTAATACGCTCATTACTACCTATGAGGCTATCAAGAAAGCACATGTAAGAGAAAGACCCTTTTTTTTTTTATGTCTCGCTCGAAACAGAGATGGAGTTTGATGGGTTTGATTCCCGTGTCGCGTTTTACCTCAACCTGAGATGGAGGAGAAACAACTTTCGGACCGAACCAGAGGCGAGCTCCGAGCTTGATGAGCCACCGGCAAAGAGAAGCTTGATGAGTTTGATCGGATATGTCTGGGGGAATCCAAGCTCCGGCGAATAACCCGACCCATGGCGAATATTGGGTGTTCGGTTTTACCGAGATGACCGTCGGAAGAAGACCGGAACTGGGAGCAGAAACTGATATGGCGGTGGAGAGCTTCTTCAAGAGTGATGAGGCGGTCTGATCGCAAAACCTCGTCCTTCACAGCCTCCACGCATAACCCACATAACCACCGACCTTGAAACCTCTGACGAACACGAGAGATGTAAGCAACAGTGCAATCCTCTGAGAATCCGCATGAATCACATTTGACGCTCTCAACCTCCATCTGAGGTTGTTTCGTTGTTACACTACTTTGTGTCTGACTCTCTCTCTCCGACCCGGCAATTCCCATCTGTCTGCCTTCTTCCTTCCTCTGTCTTTCTCTCCCCATCTATATATATGGGGATGGGTGAGGTTGTCCTGCGCCCCCCCCCCTTTTTTTTTGGGGCCACGCAGGCCGTCATGTGTTAATAATGAAGGAATTATGCCTCAGAATTTGAAATTTTTGAACTTTTTTTTTTCTTTTGTCGCCGGAACAGCACTGTGATTGTGACGAATATGAAGGGATTATTAAATAATCGGAATAAAAGAATCGTGGCGGGTTGCTTAAAAGTTTCACAGTTCACACATGTCACATAATGAAAAGATTCATATGACAACCTGGAAAATAGTTGACATGGGCTGGTAAATTTATCCCATAATGATTTGCTCTCACATTCTCCTCTCAGGTCGGTACACGTTTTTGACCCAGCTATGATCATCAACCAAAGCAACCATGTTGGCGCCCAAAAAATAAAAAAAAATAAAAACAGAGACTGTTATTATTTGTGGCATCCCATCTATACGCGCCGAATTTTCTTCCATTCTAGGCCACCTTAGCGTAAACCTAATAAGCTGTTAACTGCCGAATTGATAGTGATTAACTGTGCAATTCTCCCCCCCGCCCCGGGGGACAATTCTGGATCTATCTCCTGGACCGACCCAGCTTTTAAGCCCATTTATGAAGGCCCGAAATCAAAAGCACCAGAATCACGTACGTAAGAGAGCCTATCCTCAATTTTGTGACATCAAGTACTACACTCAATCTTTAAGATAAGGGCTAAATATAAAATTTAAAGATATTAAAAAAACTAGTTAAATTTGTTATTTATTACAAATATGTGTTGATATTCCCAAAATTGTTTTCATCATATGCATTTGATTGCCCCTTGGTCAGAACTTTTACAATCAATAGGGATATTTGAAAAATAAATAAAACAAAATAGATTAATATTTTATATTTAAAATCAAACTAATTCCTCTAACTAGTTTTTATATTAAGAATAAAAGATAATATCACTTGTCAAGAACCTTGATATGGTTAACTTTAACATGTAATTAGGACCAAAAGGGAGTATTTATTATGCATTAATATTATTTAATTGTGCGTCCAAAATATAGGATATTTCTTATAAGCTAGTATTGGTTGAAAATGTGTGACACTCTGCAAGATGTCAATAACATAAAAATATTTTTTTCTTCCCACAAATGCCCTTTTTTTGGGCCTGAACAAATGCCCTTATTCACTGTATCGGATAAAGTGACTATACTGGAGGGCAATCTTAAAAAATAATGACAATTTCTATCAATTTAATGATGAAAAACACAAAATACATATAGAAAATGATAATCGAGGACTTTCTTAAATTCTAATTACATATCTCTAATTATCAGCTCGATCATAATTTTACATTTAGGCGTGTTATCCTGGCTAGGCATACATTTTGTTTTTGGCAAATAACAATCACACGCACTATTTTTTTCTGCTTTTATTATCGTAAAAATATTATAAGATAAACAACTAATAAAAATGGTTTAGTTGATAAATAGTTGACTCATAACTCATAAGGTTATAAGTTCGAATTTTGTTGCTGATGTAAGGACCTTATTGGTGAGCAATTTATAAATATTTTAGTAAGCGTTCTTTGATAAAGGCATGTCTTGACCCGGATTAGTTAACCCACCTTATCCTTATAGAGAGATATATTTATATATATATATATATAAATAACATTATAAGATAAACGTGCATGCGAACACATAAAGAGATCTCTTTCATAGAACGCAACGTAATATGTTATCCTATCCAACAAATTCACCTATGTACGTATAATAAAGCAAGAATCATAATCAGGCAAAATAATAATAATAATAATAATAAAGCAAGAATCATAAATTATTCAATTCAACGGATTTCGTAATCTCAACAATCAAACAATTAATTTCAATTTTATTACGAACAGGTAATTACTATCGTGATTTACAATGTACTCCTCCGCTTCTTAATATAAGATCCATTTAACTAATTTGATTAGATTAAGAAAGTTAGGTAAATTAGTTAATTATAAGAAAAGTGACACATTTTTCCTAAAACATCATAATCATATTTTTTAACACCCCTCTGTCTTTTCTACTTGATTATAGTTGAGAGAATATCTATAGGGGTAATTTAGAAAAAATTGATAAATATGAGAAATGGGTCTTATATTTAGGATAAAAATCAACTCAAGAATTGGGCCTTATATTAAGGACCGGAAGAGTACATTCATAAATTAATGCAAAATATCTTTTCATTTTTATTTAAAATATTCTAGATATACAACGTATCTCTATACTCACGTGTGGGCCTCAGCCGAACTAAGGACAAACAAAATAAGAAAAGGCATTGAAATATCTTTTTTCCCTGGTTATCAACATATATCATTCGTATCACAGCATTATCGCAAATTCCAATGGTAACAATGGCGTGGTTGGCAACTTGCTCAAGCCTGGTTATTGTGGGTTTGCTTGCTCTTGCAGTTCAAGTTCTGCACTTCTCTCCGATTGACCCAATCATACTGGAAAGGCCCCCATTATCTTCTTTCCCCGTCAACAACCATTTGCAGAACGTCATCAAGCTCGGAGAAGGAATTCTGAAAGATCCAGAAGATATTTGTGTGGACAAACATGGCACTCTTTATACGGCAAGCAGAGATGGTTGGATCTTGCGATTACACCGAAATGGTTCCTGGGAGCACTGGAAGAACATTCATAGTCGGACTTTGCTTGGAATTACTGTCACAAGACAGGGTGATGTCATTGTTTGTGATTCTGACAAGGTCATCAACATATCTCCTCTTTTACATATGATTTGTAAACTTGCTTTAAGAAGACCCATGTAGACCATTTTCTACTGTCTGGGTCTCTAATTTGATGAGATTTTCAGCTTTCTGAGATACTGGGGAGTAATTTTGTGTGCAGGGGTTGCTTAAAGTTACGGACGATGGCGTCACGGTTCTTGTTTCTCAGCTGAATGGTTCTACATTAAGGTAACAACTTTGTCATATAATTATTAACGGGAAACAGTTACTTTCATGGGTTTTCGTAGTTGTTGCTGCTTCCTCCGGGAGAAAGCAGGCCAGGCTTAATTATTTGGGTAGACCAGTGTGTATTGATTTTAACATAACTGATAATTCCTCTTCAATGAAATAATGAATAACTAGGTTATGCGCAATCAACTAACAATGTTCGGTTAAAAATGAAAAGAAAAATCATCAGTTATCACAGGATTTGAAATAGTTGAACTACATAGGTTGGCAGATGAAGTGGTGGAAGCTTCAGATGGAATCTTATATTTCAGCGATGCTAGCACCAAATTTGATCTGCACGACTGGTTTCTAGATCTGCTGGAAGCAAGACCTAATGGCCGATTGCTCAAGTACAATCCTGCCTTAAACGAAACTTCTGTTTTCTTAGATAATCTGACTTTTGCCAATGGAGTTGCACTCTCCAAGGACGAAGACTATCTCCTGGTCTGTGAAACTTGGAAGTAAGGCCGTCTTAACTCACATTCCCTCTTCTTCTTTTCTATACTTTTAGTACATATGCTGATAGCTTAATTTATTTATATTAGACATAGTTGTCTGAGGCACTGGCTAAAAGGAGAGAAGAAAGGCAAGACAGAGACTTTCATTGAGAATCTGCCTGGTGGACCTGATAACATTCATCTTGCTCCTGATGGGTCTTTTTGGGTAGCTTTGATTCAGGTAATAAAAATGGTGAATTAGTCAGTGCTCAGGTTCAAACTTCAAACTGCATAAATTGAATCGATTTTCTTCAAAACTGATGCCATGTCACATATACAGGCTACTTCTGAAGAAATGGGGTTTGTGCACTCTTCAAAGGTATTAAAGCACTTGGTGGCTTCATTTCCAAAACTGGGTAATGTGATCAGCGGTACAAATAAGAAGGGAATGGTGGCGAATGTGGGAAGCGACGGTAAGATAATCAGAATATTTGATGATAGCGAAGGGAAGGTGATGACATTTGTGACTTCGGCATTGGAGTTTGAGGACCATCTTTACCTGGGAAGTCTCAATTCCAACTTCATTGGGAAATTACCATTGCGCAGCGAAACCAAAACTAGCTAGTTACTTATCAATGCAAGTTAAGCTTTTGTATTCTGTATTGTGAACTCAATGTCATGTTGTGTGGGAAGACAACTGAATCAGCATAATTTGTTTTTCGTTTCTGGCCTGTGTTTTTCCAGAACAGAGTAAAACTGGCCGGCACACATTGATATATATCACAGAACAAATAACAATCACCACACAGCCCGAAGATAGAATCCGTAGCCAGTGATGATATTGAAAAGGAAAGCAAGGGAAGGACCATGGAGGGAGGGGCGGGTCCGTAATTTGTGGGGTCGGCGTCCCCAAAATATCGTACGTAACCGCCAACTTGGAAAATCTCTGCAGCCAGACAGTTACGGGTATGTTTGGATTTGCGTTGGACAAAACTGACTTCTAATTCAACTGACTTTTGTAACTAAAGTTAGAGTAAAAGTCAGTTACGGTATGTTTGGATAGATGTTTTTAAAAAGTCAGTTGGAAAAGATAAAAATTGTTTGGATGAATAGAAAAGTTAGTTCAGTTGTAAAATGACTGAAAAGGACATATATTTTATTAAATAGTAGTGTTTGATATTTTTAATGTGATAATTGTTAAAAAATAATCTAAAATTATTATGATAAAATAAAAATAGTTTATTTGTGAAATTATAAAATAAAAATATTTGTTACCAAGACAAATTTAAAAACACATTTTAGATAATTAATTAAATATATATAATGAACAAACATGAACATAAATTAAAATTCATTTCATCTCTAATTAGAGTAAATAAAATTACATAAGTAATTAGATCGTACTTAATTAAATATATATATAATGGACAAACATAAACATAAATTAAATTAAAATTCATTTGGTCTCTAATTAAAGTAAATAAAATCACATAACTAATTCTCAATCATGATACATCAACCTATAGCACCAAAAATACTCTTTTCCTTTAACTTGAAAAATTCAACCACGCATTAAAGCATAATATCTAATAACATTAAGCTCAAACTATTGTTCAATACAGACAACAAGATCAAATAACACCCATATGTTTCGGTCAAAAGACCAAATAACACCCACATGCACACCGGGAAGAAATGTTCAGAGAGGTTTCGAAGGAAGAACGAAGACAAAAATGGGAAGCCGGACTTCAGCCACTATGACCATTCAGGGAGAATAGAGTATCTGAAAGTCGAACAGGGAAGAGAAGAAAAACACGATACCTTCGGCGGTGGAGGAAGATAGCGGCGATTGACAGATACACCGGCGATGGCACGAACAATGACCCAGATCTGTTTTGATGGAGGGAGCAGAGCTGCCGACACCCACGGACAGAGACGGCAGAGAGATCGACGGATGGAGATGCAACTGAGACCGAGACTGATGGACGGAGGAGACGCCGGTGAGAGCAATGAATGGAGAGAGTGCAAGAGCGACGGAGGTGAACACGGCGAGAGCGATGGAACGAATGCTACGCACGGGTTCTCTGTTTTGGTTTGAGCTCGGTGCAGATAGGTGAGAGAAATTAGTGGGTCATTAATTTTGCAACAGTATATTACAATTTGCAACGGTGAAAAGCTAGCTCCCACAGCGTTGGAGAATAAGCCACTTTTTTTTAAAAGTCAGATACAAAAGCCATCTATCCAAACAACCAGTTTACCATCATAAAGCTCCCAACTGACTTATTCCAATTTCCAAGGCACGTTTGGACCTCAAAACGAAGATCCAAACATACCCTACATCCTTGACGACTTACACGTTCATGTGCAATCTCCAACATTATTCCACATGCTCAATTATCAGCAATGACAGATAAGATTTATTTAATCAACAGTTAAAAAATATATAATCCCATCATCTCATTAACTAAATCATATGTTTAATTATCATGTATTCTTATTATTATTAAATATTTCTTTAAATAGTTATGGCAAACATCGAATTTTATCCTCGCATTCTAATAAAAAAATTATAAATTTTCTTAATAAATAAATAACAATAAAAATGCAATTTCGTTTTTATTTACGCATAGATTGATATTAAAAGATAAAGAACATAAGGAAGCAAGAGACAAAGAGGTAGAGAATCACTATTCCATTCCTTTGCGGTCCCATCCTACCGTTATTCAGAACAGACATCTCCATAGTTTGGTAATACTAATAGGTCGTCTTCTGCCGTAGATTTCTTACTCCTTTTGCTTTAAGGCGTCTAATATGGTGAAACTTTTGTGCTGGTTGTTCATGCCAATGAGCGTCTTTGAGTATTTGGCAAATTTTCTTCTTTTCTTTAATTAATTAATTTTTATACAATTATTTACATCCCAAAAGCCAGTCGATGCATGTGTTTATGCCTGCTTACGTGGTGATTGTGGCCTCACTTGTACTCAGCATTTTCGCTTAGGGACAAAATGTGCGCCCCGTGAGTCCGTGACACATATTTTTAACCTCCGAATAAAGCATAGATTTTGACCTCATCCAAAGGACACTTTATGTTTTCGGTTTTTATCATGGTGTTGAAAATCATATGACCAAAAGAAATTCATATACTCCTATTGTTCTTAAATGCCATTACCTATTTCACAAAAATTAAGATAGTTAAAACAGTTAAACCCATTAAATTAATAATGTTGTCATAAAAACCCTCCATTCAATTATTTTTATTTTTAATCTGACCCTCATTCATTGATTAAAATATTATCATTAAATTAATGATCCATAATTACTCCCTCCGATTCAAAATATAAGCTAAATTTTATCTATCTACGCTTATCAAGAAACTAATTAAAATCAATTTAAAACAATAAATATATAAGGCATATATTTCCCCCCCAAAAATGCCCTTATTAATGAAGAGAATAAGTAAAAGATGCAATAGATGAATCAAAGAGGAAAGAGAATATATAGGGATAAAATTGAAAAAAACTCATTAAATGTTTAGACAAGAGTAAATGTTATCTTATAAAAAACAAACCATCCAATAAAGTTTAACTTATATTTTGAGCCAGAGGGAATATATAGAATAGTTATTGAGAGGCATTATTAAAAAAATATTTAATACTTCAAAATTTTGGATAAGTGACTTTTATTTTGTATCATAATCTTCTCTCTTATACAATATACTATTTTCAATCCTTAATATAAAAATTAGTTTAGCATTTAATTTAGTCTTAAATATAATATACTGGTCTACTTTGCTTCTCATATTTATCTATTTTTTTTTAAGATAGTCGTTATAGTATTTGTGCATGTTAAATGTTTCATCAAATAGAAATTTTAGTTAATACATATGATTAACAAGGGTATTTTAGAGAAGATAACACCTATTTATTACAAATAACTAATTTAACTAATTTTTTTAATCTAATCAAATTAGTTAATTTGTTTTTCCCCCCAAGTATAGGTATCCTTCTATTAGAACAAATCTTGTTCAAAAAATTATCAGACACTAAACATGGACACTTCTCTCACATTAGATTTGAATCTTGATTCGTTATGTTACAAAAGATTAATCCTTCCCGCAAAACCCTTCTTCTATTAGTCAATTAGCAGCGGCATATGAGAGCATGGAGTATATGATATACGCATACATTATTCCCCACCATAATTATCTTTTGCGTTGCCAATTCCTAGAGTAATAATGACGACGTTGGCGGTTTGCTCAAGCTTGGTTCTGGTGGGTATGATTGCTCTTGCAGTTCAACTGTTGTACTTGTCTCCACCCCACCGTACTTGAAAGGCCTCCAATATCTTCTCATTTCACCGTCAACAACCATTTACAGAGCCTCACCAAGCTTGGAGAAGGAATTCTGAAAGATCCTGAAGATGTTTGCGTGGACAAGCATGGTACTCTTTACACTGCTACAAGAGATGGTTGGATCTTACGATTACACCGAAATGGATCCTGGGAGCGCTGGAAGAACATTCCCAGTCGTAGGATGCTCGGGATTATTGTCACAAGACAAGGTGCTGTCATTGTTTGTGATCCTGACAAGGTAATCAACATAAATACTCTTCCATTTCCAGACCCTCTTAAAGAGCCCTAGACCATTGGTTATGACTCTGATTTGATGAGAATTTCGGCTCTCTGAGATTCAAGAGTATAATTTGATGTGCAGGGTTTGCTTAAAGTGACAGGTGATGGTGTCACAGTTCTTGTTTCTCAAGTGAACGGTTCTAAATTAAGGTGACAACTGTGTCGTATGGTTATTAATAACAACTACGTGTCGCATAATTATTAATTAGAATTGCTTGATTGCTTGGGTTGTTGGAATTGTTTTTCCACTTTCCTCTATTCAGTGTTGATATAACAAAGTAAGAAATTTCTAAATCAAGGCTGTATTTAATCAGGAAAAATTGATTTTTTTAAAAAAAAATTATAGACAAAAATACTGATTATTAAGGATTTCTTTAGTTCGGACAAAAAGTGGTGAAAGTGATTTATAAATGAGATTGAACCACAGTATTACTGAACTCAGGGATTGTTTGAGTATAGGAATGCAGATGAAGTGGTAGAAGCCTCAGATGGAAGCTTATATATCAGCATGGCTTGCGCCAAATGTGATCTTCACAATTGGTATCTAGATGTGCTGGAGGCCAGGCCTCAAGGAAAACCTATCCCCAAACCACACTTCTCTTTTCTTAGATAACCTGGCCTTTGCCAATGGCGTTGCTCTCTCAAAAGACCAAGACTTTCTCTTGGTTTGTGAAACATGGAAGCAAGTCTATCGTAACTCTTAGCCAACACACTTCCTTCTTTTCTACTTGTCCTCTATGCAATGCTAATACCTTATTTCCTGTAGAACAGATATAGGTGTCTGAGGCATCGACTCAAAGAGAGAAGAAAGGCAAGACAGAGACTTTCGTCGAGAACCTTCCCGGTGGACCTGATAACATTCATCTTGCTCCTGACGGATCCTTCTGGCTTGCTATGCTTCAGGTAAATATTTATTTGGTGATCGCTTGTGTTTAAACCGCCTGTATTAAAATTAATATTCTTTTTGCATATACAGGTCACTCATGAAAAACTGGAGTTTGTGCAGTCTTCAAAGATATTGAAGCGGTTGGTGGCCTCCATTCCAAGACTGACTAATTTGGTGATGAGTGGTTTGTGTAAGAAGGCAATGGTGGCCAATGTTGGGAGCGATGGCAAGATAATCAGAATATTTGATGATAGCGAAGGGAAGGTGATGAATTTTGTGACCCTAGCTTTAGAGTTTGAGGATCATCTTTGCACTACAAAAAAACAGACTTTAGGTGATAACTTTCGGCGGTGACACCAAAAAATCGCCCCTAAAACTAAGACTTTTAGTGGTGACTTTTTTTGTCGCCGCTGAAAGTGGACCTTCAGCGGCGACTTTTTTTTTTGCTGCTAAAAGTGAACTACTGAAAGTTCGCTGCTTAAACTAAGACTTTCAGCAGCGACTTTTTTTATCGCTGCTGAAAGTTCGCTGCTGAAACTAAGACTTTCAGCGGTGACTTTTTTTGTCGCCGCTAAAAGTGTAATATTATAATATATATTTTATTTTACAATATTAATAAATAAATTCAATTTGGCTCAGCGGCAAAAGATTGAACACGAAAGGAGGCGGTCATGAATTCGAACCTTGAAGAAGACACATTTAAAGTGAAAATATTTAGACGATGACGTGACGGGGAGAAGTGATGTGGCAATGACGTGAAGATGGCTAATAATGATATGGCAGTCGGCAGCGTTAGTAAAACCAAAACTTTTGTCGCCGCTGAAAGTCAATTTTTTTGTAGTGTTACTTGGGAAGTCTCAATTCCAACTTCATCGGAAAGTTACAGTTGCGCGGTGAAAACCAAAACTAGTTATTGGCTTCTGATCGATCGATGCAAGTTCAACTTTCGTTTCAAGTCATGATTTCGTGTTCTGTATTCTCACCTGTTTCATAAATATGAATGATAACACAAATACTCCAAAATTGGTGTCCCAGCTAGTAAAACTAACACTAGTTCTCTCCCAAACCCCTTTCTTCCTACGTGTTTCTGTCTAATTTTATGAACAAAACCCATTTCATAACGCGCTTGTTGTGATGGTATGGTTTGCATATCCGACGTGGAAAACCCCTAAACTTGATATTCCGTCGCTATATTTGGCCCTAGCACCCTCTGTCTGCCATGCAGGGCTTTTTTTCCTCCCCAAACTGATGCAGGGATATATTCAATCGAGAAAATTCTTACTAATTTGTATCTTATTATCTTAACCCAATTATACTTAATACTCCTCCGGTCCTTATTATAAGACCCAATTTGACTTTTTATTTGGTCCTAATTATAAGACCCTAATCCATTTTTTCTCTTATATTTATGTATTTTTTCCAAGATAATCCTTCTAATAATGATAGTTTTAGCCAATATACTTAATTAGCAAGGATATTTTAGGAATGACAACACTTATTTATTATAAATAACCAACTTAACTTACTTCTTTAATCTCCCCAAATAAGTCAATTGGGTCTTATAATTAGAACCGGAGGAGTATTATCTATCCCAGAATGATATCTACATACTCCAGAGTCTTGGAAGACAAAAACTAAGCTGTGGAATCCATACTTTCACGGAATGAGTTTAGCAATTAAAATGGATTAATTTTACTTTGACCACTGGTAACTTACTAACCTTTTTTTGGCCATAGGTAATTACTAACCTTACCTAACTCAATATAAAATTCTTTTTTTTTGTGTCATCAGCTTGAAATAAAATTCAAAATAATTTTTTAATTAAAATATCAATATCATAATATAAGTACTTTTCCGGTCCTAAATATAGGATCCATTTTATAGTGTGTTTATCCATTTTGTAGTATAAATTACATTACAAAATGAGTTTTATATTTAAGACCGGAGGAGTATATTATAAACTTTACCAAATTTGCAGTATTATGCAATTTTTTTTGTAGGAGTATTATTCATTTATATTTGAGTTTTCTTAAATAATGTTGTGCCTTTCTAGAAACAAGGTAGCGTCTGAAGCAGTCAACATTAAAATGTACTCATCCACGCGCAGTATCATCGCAAATCCCAAGGGTAACAATGGCGTGGTTGGCACTTGGCAACTTGCTCAAGCCTGGTTCTAGCGGGTTTGCTTGCTCTTGCAGTTCAAGTTCCGTACTTCTCTCCCATAGACCCAAATACCCAATCGTAATTGAAAGGCCTCCATTATTATTAGCTTCTCCTTTCGCCGTCAACAAACCATTTGCAGAACGTCATCAAGCTCGAAGAGGGAATTGTGAAACATCCCCAGCATGTCTCTGTGGACAAACATGGGGCTCTTTACACAGCGATCAGAGATGGTTGGATCTGGTGATTACATCGAAATGGCTCCTGGGAGCACTGGAAGAACATTCACAGTCATACGATGCTCGGGATTACTGTCACAACGCAGGGTGATGTCACTGTTTGTGATTCCGACAAGGCCGTCGACATATATCTACTCTTTCATAATTTTCTAACTCGCTTGAAGAATGCCCATATACAGGCCACTTTCTACTGTCTAGCCTAGACCTCTAATTTGATGAGATTCTCTGAGCTTAGTGAGATCTTGGGGTATGATTTGGCATGCAGGTGCTGGTTAAAGTCACAGATGATGGTGAGGATCAAATAATTACGATCAATTGGTAGTTTGGTACTGCGAAATTGCTTTTATACTTGTTCTTCTTCTTCCAGTGGGTAGCTGATAGATTAGGCTTTATTATTTGCGAAAATTGGTTAGTCCCCGAATCTAGTCTGAATCACAAGAAATAGAGATGAGAAAATAGGCTTTTCTCATCCGGGATCCATATCAATGATGAGGGCCACATTCCCATTTAGTTAGGCTTTTGTGTGAATTGGTTTTATCCAAAACTAAATTTGTATTCTTAAAGACACACTTCTGTTCAAAAGTCTAACTCAAACATCAAAGTCAACAATAAAGAGTCTAATACCCACACTACATTAAATAATAATTAAAGAGAAGACGTCACAATTACCTGTCAATACTCGGATTTAAACTAATCTTAAAGAAAACTGGCCCATACTTGGTTTGAATATTTATATGGCCTTGGACTACCAAGAGGGCTCTAATGGGCCATCCACCTTGGGCCCAGAAGGGACCGGAGGGAGGAGGAGTTGAAATACATAGTCCTTGGAATTGTGAAGTTTCTGCCAGGTACTCCTTTGCAATGAAATACTATTCTCAAAATAAGACATCAGTTATCTTTTATTTTGATCATAAATATAAGATCTTAATTCATTTTATCTATCATATTTATCTTTTTTTTTAAAAGATAATCCTCTAATAATAATAGTTCTAGCCCATACACTTGATTTGTAAGGATATTTTAGAAAAGATAATACCTATTTATTATAAATAATTGACTTAACTTATTTTTTTAATCTATTCAAATTAGACAGCTAGCTTTTACATTTAGGACCGGAGGAAGTACCATATAATTATTATTAATAATAATTAGTAGAGTAGTGACAAATGACTTTTTACCAAATATGCTGGTGATTGAAATGGAAGAACTACGTAGGTCGGTAGAAGAAGTGGCAGCAGCTTCAGATGGAAGCTTATATTTCAGCGTTGGTAGCACCAAGTATAATGTGCACAACTGATATCTGGATCTGCTGGAGCTAAGACCACACAACCAGGTGCTCAACTACAATCCAATTTTAAATGAAACTCACATTGTTCTACCCAATCTGAGTTTTGCCAATGGCATTGCTCTCTCCAAGGACCACGACTCTCTCGTGGCCTGTGAAAATTGGAAGCAATAAGTCTATTATTTTCACCACCGCCATGTGCTATCTCTCTTCCTCTCTTCCCAATTCTTCATTATTTAACCTGCCAAATTCTTCAGCTCGTACAGATCAGACATAGTTGTCTCAGGCATTTGCCGAGAGGAGAAAAGAAAGGCAACACAGAAGCATTCATGGATAACCTTCCCCGGCGGGCCTGATAACATTCATCTTGTTCCTGACAGGTCTTTTTGGGTGGCTTTGGTTCCGGTAATATGAAAAATTGTCAAACTAAACTTGAAATTATTATTTCCTTGAAAACTGATGTGGTGTGATGCCACACAACGTACAGGTGGGTTTTGAGAAGCTGGAATTGATGCACTCGTCCAAGATATTAAAGCACTCGATGGCTTCATTTCCGAGGCTGGTGAGTGTGGCAAGTGGGGGGTAGGCATAGTAAGAGGGCGAAGGTAGTAAATGTGGGAAGTGACGGCCAGATGATTCAAATATTGGACGATGATGAAGGGAAGGTATTGAGTTTGGTGACTTCGGCTTTGGAATTTGAGGGCCATCTTTATGTGGCAGATCTCAGTTCTAAGTTCTAACTCCATCGCAAAATTACCGTTACCTCCTACAAACCATGCCTAGCTTATCAATACAACTCCCATATCTATTCACGCCTTCTTATTCTCTACTTGGACCATGTTATGTTATGCCACACGCGCGCACGTCTCAATTAACTAATTTGAAAACACTAACTCACTAAGTATGATAAATAAATCATTTTAAAATATCTATATTTATTATTATTTTAAATTAATTTACCTGATTTATAAACTGATATATAATTTAATAATATATATAAATATTTTGGAAAAAATCATGTAACGCATATTATAATTAAATATTTATCTTAATTTCTCTGAATTAGAGCATGTGTGTGTGTCTATATATATATATATATATATATATATATATATATAATGCAATGAATGGACCGGAAAGCTACAGAGAGACTGATGATGGAATCATGCATCTCGTGTGGGTCGCGGGACGTCGGGACTTCGTACCCGAATGTGACAACTACGTAGACACTTGGCATCACGCCAAAAACATTTCATCGCGTCCCTTGATGGAATTGTTGCTCCAAAATTCAGTTGCCGAACTATTCAAAGTAATAAGTATTTAATTCCATAAAAAAAGTATTTAATTCCTGAAATTATTATTTACTGAAAAATATGTATGGCGTTTTGATGGTGTATAAATAATAGCTTAAAAATAAAATAAACAACTATCTATACTCATCATCAACAGGTCTAATAAATTTTTTATTTTTAATATAAAAATACACGCAAAATTAAATTGAAACGGTGATATTATTCTCGATACTATTATATCTGTTTTGTTATGCCTTCTATTATTAATATAAGAGCACGTTTCATTTTTATTTTGATTTTAAATATAAGATCCTGATTCATTTTGTCTGTCATATTTATTTATTTTTCTCAATATATTCTTATAATAATAGCAGTTATATCCAATATATACTTGATTAACAATAATATTTTAGGAAAGATAATACTCATTTATTAGAAATAACTAACTTAACTTGTCTCTTTAATCTATTCAAATTAATCAACTAGCTCTTATATTAAGGACATGAGGTAATATTTATTATGACTATTTTATATTCATTAAGCATAGTTTAATGCATTATATTTTACAAATATTAAATAAAATCATGTTTTATTAAAATAAGCATAATCATGATTTATCTACTATTATAAATTTGATGGCAAAAAAATATACTATTATAAATTTAATCAATATGGTCGTATTATTATTTTAACAAAAACTATGTCCTTTTGTGTAAACTGTGACATAATCATCTGCAAGAATCAAGGAAGGTATAAATTATAATTTTGTCAGCTCCTGAAAAAGTATCATCTTTCTTCTCAGATAAGATCTTACAGAAGATATATTCCACTTCACCAGGATTTCAAATAGAATAACGAACTAGTAATTTGTAGACCTCGCAGAGAAAAAAAAAATTACGTACACGCTAAAATTTTTATAAAAAGAACTAAGATACTGCCTAATTTGGTTTTATAATGAGCATGGAAATTTTGCTTGTATATATTGTACCTCTCCTGAGAGGTTGACAGAGACGGGAAGCAAGCCTAAAAGATAATTTGGAAATTGAAAAGGATGGTTACAAGGAAAGAATCGTCATCATCGATCAATCGTTACTGTTCTAGTAAGATATATTCAGGGGAAAAAAACCTGATCTAGATTTGATATTTCACTATTTTTTCAAAGATTTAATATTTCATTAATATATATATATATCTATGGATATAATGTATAAAAGCTTTAATAAATTGTCCTGTATTTATTTATGAACTCTTTTTTTGCCCAGCAATTTATTTATGAACTCAGTTCTCCAACCTACGCTAATTATTAATTGTTATAATGAAATTGCGGCCCACCTCCTTCTTCAGAGACAACTATTGTTTTCGTTTGAACACGCGAAGGTATTTTTTCGACGGAGGTCCTGGCATTAGTGGCCCTTCCCTTGTTTATTTCCAGTCGGTCGCGATCTCCGTCATCCCCACCCCCTGATAGGATCTCTCTCTCTTTAAGATTTCGGTTTTCTGAAATTCTTCCAAATTGGCCCTTAATTTAACGAAATTTATTATTTTCTACATTTTTGCCTCTTCCTAATAATCCTCATTTTAGGAAATTATTTTCCGCTGGGTAACTCTTCACTCGCACCGTTATTATCCTTGATTCAACAACTCTTCGTTTGGGAACATATATTCTTCTCATCTGGAGTAGTTAGTTTCTCGTGGATTCAGCAAGTTGCTGTTTTTGTATCTGAATCAGGTAAAATCTTCTTTTGTTTGTTATAGGATGGCTGCTAATGAAGGTGAGGTGCTTCTCCCAGAAGGGCCAGATCCATTTTTTATTTTCAAAAGGGAAGGGCAATTGTTGAATTGTCTGTTTCTAACATGTAGTTGGCCAATGTGATAAGATGCACGATATTTATCTTCTTTAAATTAACGTCAAATTGATTAGGGTGGTCATCTCTTGTTCTTTCTGTTCTATCTTTCTTTCACTTGAGCTGAAACTGGTTTAAAAAGGAAGGGCTGCCAAATTAATTTCTATTTATGTTTCTGCTTTGGTGTTTTGGTCTTTTTTAACCAGTTTCTGATTTGTGCTTCCTTTGTGATGTGAAAATGCTCTTATTATTTCGCCTCCCTGTGGAAATGTCGGGTGTAAGTGAAGCTCAAAGATAATGGATCTGTACTCATTTCGTTGAACTGCTCTTTTTCCCCTCCAATCTAATAACAATACCTTTTAATTAGTAGTTTTACAGATTTTTGGTTTATTTGACCTAAGGCTCAGGACATTTTGCCTTTATGCAGGATGAAGGGAGGCTTAAATGGGTTGAAGGGTAAAGAAATTTCTCTCATTTCCATTGTTCTCATGTCCGCGACTATTCTTATATGGACCTGGGAGAAAACCCCCGGTCTAACATCTTTTCTTCCTCCTCAAACACAACTGCAGCTATCTTCAGGTTCTCATCAGATAATTCTCTTCGTTTCTTTTACATTCTGTCAACATGACCATATTAGTCAGTCATTTTTTTTTTTTTAAATGAAGTTAGAAGCATGTATATTTTTATTCTTCCATAAATTTTTCTCGCAGTGTTATAGAGTTATCCTTCTGTCTGACTTCGGCCTGTGCAAGCACTGTATTTGCCTTAAAATAAAAAAATAATTCTCATATAGTTCTGTGGAGTGGTCAAATTGGGCATGAAATCTTTAGTGTCTACATAGTGAATAGTACCCTGCAATCCAAGCTTGGAAAGCCTGTTACCTAGTAAGCTTATATTTTTCCCAGTGCCTTTTCAGTTTTCATTTATTGTTCTTTCTGCATCATTTGCTGCAGATGTAGATGTAGGTGGAGGTGGCTCTCCATTAGCAAAAACGGAGTCCACTAGTGAGCAAGGAGAACTGCAATTGACTCAAACATTTTCTGCGGAAAGCTCTTCTGGAAGGAGCATTGATGAAAGCCATATAATATCTACCGCACTTACAGAACGTAAGATACTGCCTTTTGTTATCCTCAATGGCAATAAAGGGTTAATGATCACACTGCTATGCCACTTTTCGGTGGCATCTTTTGTATCAATGACTATTTGTTCACCTTTATATGGAGCTGTCTTATGCTTAATTTGGTATTGTAGTCAAGCTGTAATGCCTATTTTTGTGGTAATCCAACTGGTAGGTTAAATGTAATAACGTGATGCAGACATGTTCTTCCAAAAGCCCGTGCATGCTAACATCATTCGACATCATTTTAGAGTGTATATCAACTCAATGCTATGCTAAATCTTGAACCTTCTCTTTCATTATGATGATGCAGAAATTCACTCAAAGGTATCTAATGAAAAAACTGAAGCAAAAGAAGTCCTGGAAGCTGGAAACAATCACAATGCACAAACTCTTTCCAGTCAAGAAAATATTAGTGAAGAAAGGCATCAAGAAGAGGGGAAGGAAGCATCAAACGAAGCAAACATTATAACAGATCTTGTTGCTTCGAATCAGTCTCCACAACGAAGCTATTCAGATGACAGAAAAAACAACGAGGATTGGAATAATGGTACAGAACGTAAAGGTGAAGGATTTTTACTTAACATATCTAACTATTGTATTATCTATCAAGTTCCTAATGTGTTCAGACTAATTCAAATATATATACACAATATATTGTTTTTTGAACTAAAATTACTACATGTTCTTGCAACGGCCTTCCAAATAATGAGTTTCATGTTGGAGGGTATCTATAATCATTTTTGAGAAACTATTTTTTTTTCTTGAAAAAATTTATAGGCCTG